CCTTTTGTTTGCTGGCGGAAATTTAGTTCCAAAGCAAATTACATATCGCTAGACTTAGCATTATCAATGACTGCTTTAAATCGAAATATCGCAGGTTTTAGGATTCTTAATGACTCCTTTAATTTCTTTGAAGCCGGTCTGAGTTTTTGATAGTTCTGACTCGAGTTTATAAAGACTCTGTCATTAGATCTATACTCAGAACCACGACTGTATGTCCGGTTGTGTCGAACTGCCTCGGTTCTATCCCGATGGGACCCACCAGTCATCTGTCTAGATGAAGTATCCGGAGCAGATGTGTTTGGTGGGATACCATCTGAGTAAAAAGCCGGCGAGTTCGGCACCCAGTTACCAAAAATACCACTTGCGTCTTTATATAGACGGAAGTTGCCAGCTGACGTTGGCCGTGTAAATTCAGTGCCAGTCCAAAGGATTGGATCAGCACCTGAATCTTGTGACAGTTTTGCGGCTTGAAGAGGAGCGCATGGGTCTTTGGTGTCTATGGTGAACACCTCAAGTGCCTTTGGGGCGCCTCGAGTGTCATCACTTACACCAATTACCGATAATATTTGTTGTTGTTGAAACGATGATGCCATGATATAAGAGAATGAAGAAGATATTGTTGAGTATTGAACGAATGTAAGACAAATTAATGAATGGTGCACGAAACGAGAGGGAATGACTACGCATAGTAAGTAATCACTCTCTCGTATTACTCTGGACAATGATTCTACGACAAAGAGTCTATTTTATTTCGTCCGTTTGAGTCTCGCATTCTCTTGTCTAATGAATTAATCTTTAATTTGTTCCACGAAATTTAGTTGTAACGAAAAAGAAATATCGCTTTCGTAAACGAAAAAGAAATATCGAAGTTTTGGGATTCTCAATAACTCCTTTAATTTGTTTGCGGACATTTAGTTGTAAAGCAAATCAAATATCGCTACACATCGCATTCTCAATGACTCCTTTAATTTCTTTCCCGAAATTTAGTTGCAACGAAAACGAGATATCTCAAGTTTCTTTAATTTGTTTGCGCAAATTTAGTTGGAAAGCAGCTCAAACATCGCTATATAATATCGCTTCTCAATGACTCCCGTGACTTGTTTGCCGAAATTTAGATGTGACGAAAACGAAATATCGCTATTGGGAAGCAGATCAAATATCGCTAGATTTAGGATTCTCAATGACTCTTATGATTTTACCCGAATTTTGTTGTCACGAAAATGAAATATCGTTAGATTTAGCAATTCCAACGACACCTTTAATTTCTTTGCTAAAATTCGGTCGTAACGAAGAAGAAATATCGCAAGTTTTAGGATTCTCAATAACTCCTTTAATTTCCTTGCGGAAATTTACTTGTAAAGCGAATCAAATATCGCTAGCTTTAGCATTCTGAGTGACTTCCTTGATTTCTTTGCCGAAATTTAGTTGTAAAGAAAGATATATACCGCTAGATTTAGGATTCTCAATGACTTTCTTTGGTAAATTCAGTTGCAGCGGAAAATAAATATCGCAAGTTTTAGGGATCTCAATAACTTCTTTGATTATCTTATGGAAGTTTAGTTGTAAATCAAATCAAATATCGCTAGATTCAGCATTCTCACTGATCCCCTTAATTTCTTTGCGGAAATTTAGTTGTGCCGAAATAGAAATAACGTAACTTTCGGGATTCTCAATGACTACTTTAATTTCTTTGGCGAAATTTAGTTGTAACGGAAAATAAATATCGCAGGTTTTAGGATTCTTAATGACTCCTTTAGTTTCTTTGCCGAAATTTAGCCATAATGAAAAAGAAATATCGCAACTTCCAGGATTCTCAATGACTCCTTTAATTTCTTTGCCGAAATTGCGTTGTAACGGAATAGAAATATAGCAGGTTTTAGGATTCTTAATGACTCCTTTAGTTTCTTTGCCGAAATTTAGCCGTAACGAAAGAGAAGTATCGCAACTTCCGGGATTCTCAATAACTCCTTTAATTTCTTTGCGGAAGTTTAGTTGGAAAGCAGATCAAATATCGCTCGATTTGGCATTCTCACTGATCCCCTTAATTTCTGTGCGGAAATTTCATTGTACCGAAATAGAAATAACGTAACTTTCGGGATTCTCAATAACTCCTTTAATTTCTTTGCGGAAATTTCGTGGTACCGAAATAGAAATAACGTTGCTTTCGGGATTGTCGATGACTAGTTTAACTTCTTTGCCGAAATTTAGTTGTAAGGGATAAGTGATATCGCAGGTTTTAGGATTCTCAATGACTACTTTAGTTTCTTTGGCGAAATTTAGTTGTAACTGAAAAGAGATATCGCAGGTTTTAGGATTTTTAATGACTCCTTTAATTTCTTTGAAGCCGGTCTGAGTTTTTGATAGTTCTGACTCGAGTTTGTAAAGAGTCTGTCATTAGATCTATACTCAGAACGTATAGATAAAATATGTTTGGTGGGATACCATCTGAGTAAAAAGCCGGCGAGTTCGGCACCCTGATACCAAAAATACCACTTGCGTCTTTATATAGACGGAAGTTACCAGCTGACGTTGGCCGTGTAAATTCAGTGCCAGTCCAAAGGATTGGATCAGCACCTGAATCTTGTGACAGTTTTGCGGCTTGAAGAGGAGCGCATGGGCCTTTGGTGTCTATGGTGAACACCTCAAGTGCCTTTCCAATAACAACACTTGTTGAATTATGTCCAAGATTAAAAAATAAAAGATCGTGTGCTGTTATTATAACTTGTGGAACAGCGTATCTTATCAGTTTACCTTTCACATGCCCAGTAGGTATTTTAACATCATTAAACTTTCTATTTGTCAAGAACAAAGTCATACATTTTCAATCGTTCGGATGTTTTTCGAGTGAATGGTTAGTTTTTTAACACTAATTTTAAGTTAATTATTAAGTTTGATTATATTTAAAAAAAGTAATATATTGCATGTTTTGATATTTTACTTGTGATCGTTTAACCTAAATAAAATCTCACAAAATTATGGATTTTTGACGATAAAATTATTTTACAGCTGAACTAAAAATTGTTAATAAATCAACACTGTGTGTAAGGTGCCTCTAGCACTACTTTTTGGGGGGATATTTATACATCATTTGATAAAGCTGGACGAGCTGATCAAGAAAATATGGTTTTTAAGTTTCCTACTGTAAATTTTAAATGAAAAAACTTTAAGTGGGTAGAATTTCAAAAAACGACCGAATTTTAAAACAATTCAATATCTGAGTTCAAAATCATTTCGACGCCTATTATGGAGAGCTTTTTTGAAATTTCTTTCCATTTTGACATAATTGATTCTTTAAATGTTGAATTTGCTTTTTTGTGTGGTATGCGGATATATAGGTAATAGTAGATTGCAAATATCCTTCGATATATATTGTGTTGATTGAGATGTCTGATGTTTATAAGATATATATTTATATATGAACTAGAAAATTTGCCCGGATTGATGATTTCGATTATGATTTAAATGAAACAATTGAATATCTAGTAAAAGGTTTAATATCCAAACACTCACTTTAGAGGATAATATTGTTAGAAAGTGTTTTATTCTGAAAAAATGCGATTTTATGGAAAAGCCGTAGTTTGCCGATCGGACCCGAACATACACGAAAATGTTCGGGATGTTAACTCGAGTCTAAATACCAATTTGGTCAAAATCGGTTCAGAAATGTGGTTGCTAGAGCAAAAACTCCGAAGTTTTTGATCGGGAGGTACCCGAAGCAGTTGGTCGATCGGACTCAAAACACTACTCCGGTCTTCCTTTTGATCCTGTTAGAAAACACACCAAATTTGGTCGCTATGGGATGAAGCATGTGGATTTGTACAGCTGAACAAACAGACAAACTCTTGAAATTATAGTATAGATATGTATGTTGTAATTAGACATAGACGGGACCGGAGTTGAAACCAAGGATTTTTATGGACAATTTCGTAAAACAGCTAAAAATGACATAAGAGACAAAATAGATAAAAAAATGGGAAACAGGAATTTCGCAGTGGACTTTCGACAATTGCCGAAAGTTGTGTTTTTGTTGGATTTTCGCAAAATACCAGACTGGAACTTTGGCAATAGCCAATAGTCCAATTTTGTAAATATCGGAAATACACTAAAAGCACAGCTTTAATTAGTAGTAATTAATTAATTCGCTAATTACTGAACTTTCGACAATATTTAATTAAATATTGCCGAAGATCCCAGCCATATTAACCATATTATACATATATTATTCAAGAATTCGTACTATTTGTGGGTTTGTTCAGGTATTATGAAATCATAAGCACTGTTAATAAGAGTGGTTATCATGTGCCGATTGCAATGCGGGTGGTCTACAATGCAGGTGGCTTGCAATGCAGGTGGCTTTAAGCTACGCAGAAAAAAAAGAGTAATGGATATAGAAATTTAATGATAATTGCATTGGCTAGTTTAAGATTTTAGATTGAAACAGTATTTATGAGAGTATTTTGAGAATATTCACATTAATCTACAAATAAAGATGTAAGTGTCATTTGTTATGTGAGCAACATTTGTTTAAATAGTTTCATTCATGTTTTTCTACAAGTTCAACAAAAAATAGCAACGTTATAACTTAAAAACAGTTATGAAAAAACATATATTACATGTACAAAATAAACGAAAATCATTTGTAGGATCAGTTCGAGGAACAAAGGAACAAGTCGTGTATTTTTATTTCAAGACTTATTAACTATCTATACAATATTAACGTCGTGAGCGAGTATTATAACCTCCAATTGTTCTTGGTTGTAAAACACATCTTTTTCGTTTTCTTACTTTGATTGGCGGTGGACTCTGTGAAACATCTGATGTTACTTTGACAACAGCAGCAATGTTTGTTAATTCTGAATTTGTCATCGATATGTTATCAGTAGAACATGAATTTTCATTTACTGTATCGATTGAGTTTCAACAAGGCTTGTTTCAGCGTTGTCCATCTGTTGTCACAGCAACTGTTATTTCAGGACAACTTGCTGGAAGTAATGCATGACTTATCGATGATGACGTATTGGAAATGTCTGTATGTTGTCTACATATGTTGTCTGTATTGTTGTATCATAATTATTATCTGATAATGACGTAGCATCAGTGGGAGTAACAGTGATGGTTTTTGCTGATGTGACTGTGGCATCATTATCATCAATTTGTGTACGTAGAATGCTGCAATGAAAAAAGAATTGAAGCATTATCTTCTATTCAATTGAAGTTAGTTACAGACTGTTCATGACTGGATATTGGATTTAAGTGCAATCGTTCTTAACCACTGTAATCAAGAAAATTTGTGACAGATGGAGCATCAGCATGTTCTTGTGTTGCTTTCACACTACGAAGAATACATTTAAAATAAATAAATGCGCACAAATGTAGAATAAATGACGTGACGGTACGGGACATACCTTTTACATGTATTGGTTGACTTAAATTTTGGAGATATTATGGAACTTAAATCCATTTGACTTAAATTTAATGTTGATTCTTGATTGTCATCTTCACTTCTATTCCCATCTTCATCTACACTATTGATTCTTGAAGACTGTTCTTCATCGGTGGCATAAGTTGGTTGAGGAAGATTGATTTGTATTTCAGCACTGTTTCCTTTGGGTATCACTTGTTTAACTTTACAATTTTCTTTTTCAAAATCACCATCTTCATCACCATCGATGCTGCTCGTGCTACTTGATACCGGTGAATGTTCAACAGGATCAAATTCAGCGCTAATGAGGTAGAAATCAAAAGAGTAATTAGTAAAGAATTTTTATTTTATTGATCTTACGTAAACATCGCGTTCATGATCGGTAAGCTGCATGTGCTCCTGGATTGGCTCGGAATAAACATGCTGAGCTACACATGCATGTACAGTTTGTGCATGTACAGTCTTGTTGAAACTTCAAGTTTTTTTGTTTTAAGTATGTGTTCAGCAGATGCAGCAGATATAAGATTCGTTGAATACAACAACGAATTCAAAAATAGATCAGTCACAAGAGAAATTTCTCTTCGTCTATGTAATAATTTTAAGATTTGACCTGAAGAATGATATATAATTTATTATCAAATCGAGATAGATTATTCTGACAGACCTTGTTTTTCACCTTTTTAGCATTATTTATTTTGACGAATAAGTTTGTATCACCATCATTGTCTTCTTCTAAATGATATGTTCTACTGCTGTCGCTGTCATTGTTTTTCTTCAAAACCAACTTACGTGTCCCACGTAAGCCGTATTTCACTAGTTCGCGAAGCTTCTGTTGCATTACCTTATTTTCAGCTGCACCTGGATAAGGTCTTCTGTATCCATGATGACATTTCATAATTTGCTTCTTTAGACCATCTAAAAAAGAAAGAAAATATATGCATAAAAACGAAATAATCTAATATGAGCATATAATTTATAGCTAGTTACGTAGATAGCTTGCGATGTAAATTAACAAATAGCTTGCGTTTATTTTTCACAATATCATCGAACACGATTTTATGTGTTGGTAAAATTACATTCGATTGTACAACTGTTGTGGTTGTCATGTTGATGATGATGTTCGAATGATGAATAAAAATGAATAGTACTAAAGAACACGTGTCTATTTATCTGAATTGCCGTTGTCCTTTCTATCTTTATTACTCGAAAATAAATTACATACTACTGGACTGTATTTTTCAACCAATGCTAGACGGTAGATATTAAAGATATTAAAAGTGGCTGTTTGGTTAGAGAACACCTGAAGACCATGCAAACGTGACTAGTTAATTGTGCATATTTCTTCGAAAAACTTTTCATATCTCTTTGAAATCTCGCTCGATCACTACGAAAATGCAATTACAAAGGGATTTTGGCTGCTCTTTCTACTGGTAGTCTTAGAATTTCAAAGTTCTCTGATCATGTATGGAAGGTTTTTATAGAGACATGCTGAAAAATCCGAGGATTTAGATCGGCCATTTTTGGATTCTGCATATCATAGATTGTAGCCTATATAAAATTGTACATCTCCTAAACTTTTCATCTCCCGACGCCTTTTGGGTAGTGAGATATAAAGATACTAACCCACTCCCACCACCATCATATCTGAAACATGGACAAGGATGGTTATGAAAATTAATTTTTTTCGAACTAAGTGTAAGCCTTGCTTGCTTGTCCGTTGGTCAGTGAACAAATGTTATATTGTGATTTCTTCTGAATTCACCTTTTAATATCCAAAGATGCATATAACTGATACACTCACACTTTATTATAAAAAATCAGCAACTATATATA